AAGCCTTCAAATGAATGGCTCTCAGAAGAAGATGCTCAACTTTGCTAATTAAAGACATACTCTAGTATGGTGACACCATGTTTTCATCAGATTAGGAAAAAATTAAATAGGCAGTTGCTGAGGTCTTGGTAAAACTGATGATGTTGCTAGGACTTTTAGGACAGCAATTTGGCACCTTTTTTTTTTAAGATTTTTTTTTTTTTAAAGATTTTATTTATTTATTTGAGACAGAATAAGAGAGAGAGAGCACATGAGGGGGGGGAGGGTCAGAGGAAGAAGCAGGCTCCCTGCCGAGCAGGGAGCCCGATGCGGGACTCGATCCCAGGTCCCTGGGATCATGACCTGAGCCGAAGGCAGATGCTTAACCGACTGAGCCACCCAGGCGCCCCAACTTAGCACCTTCTATCAAAGCATAAACATACATCCTCTTCAGCACAGTGACGCTACCACCAGGAAACCTCTAACAGACTGCCCACAGCCTGGCGCAAAGATTGAGACCCGGCCAGTATCTGGCCAGACCATGCCACTGTGGGAGGACGTGCATGGTGGGCAGGAGGTACCCCAGGACCTTGGTACCTGTGGATGACAGAGCTGCCAGCCGGGACACTGAGCAGTGAGTCAGTGCTGTGGAGCACGGCAAGGAGCCGGGCACTTCTACCTTCCCAAGCTTTCACGTCCCTTGGGGCCCCCGACCGCCTACTGACACAGCGCTGGAGGGAAGATAGAGAGCTCTGAGTACAGCCACCCCCCCTTGTCCACGTTTCAGTGCCCACGGTCCCCACAGTCTAGCAGCTGACGACCCCCCTCCTGACACAGCCTCAGGTCAACGGTGGACTAACACTCCATCACAGGCCTTCATCTCACTAGGAAGGCATTTGATCATCTCACGCCATTGCAAGAAGCGGGGAGTGCAGAACAGTAGGAATTCTGAGGGAGACAGACACCACACTCGCGTAACTTTTATCGCAGTATGTTGTTAGGGGAAAACCTCGGAGACCCCAGGGTCGGTTCCAGACCACAATAAAGCAAACGTCTCCGTAAAGGCAGTCAAGTGATCTTCCTGGTTTTCAGTGCACATAAAAGCTGTTTATGCCATCCTGTAGTCGTTAAAGTGTGCAACATTATGTCTAAAAACCAATGCACGGACCTTAATTAAGATACTTCATTGAGGGGCGCCTGGGTGGCTCAGTCGTTAAGCGTCTGCCTTCGGCTCAGGTCATGATCTCAGGGGTCCTGGGATCAAGCCCCGCATCGGGCTCCCTGCTCCGCGGGAAGCCTGCTTCTCTCTCCCTCTCCCCCCTGCTTGTGTTCCCTCTCTCGCTGTCTCTCTCTCTCTCTCAAATAAATAAATAAAATCTTTAAAAAAAAAAAAAAGATACTTCATTGATACGAAATGCTTTCATCGAGCTGTGAGTCATAATCCCTGATGACAGATCACCATGACAAATAATCAGGAAGTCTGAGATATTTCAAGAATTACCAAAACATGACAGAGACACACAGCGGCTGTTGGAGAACCGGCACCGCAGACGTGTTCAACGCAGAGCTGCCACAAAGCCTCAGTTGGTAAGAACAGCGATCTGGGAAGCACAGGGCAGCAGGCAGCGCGCGGTGTGCCTGGGTAACTGCAGCTGGCCTTTGACCAGCTGGAGCTCACCTTACTGTGCCCAAGGCATAAAATTAGGTCCTACCACAGGTCTGCACAGGGAAAACCATACATACCTACAGTCCAGTGCCATCCACGGGGGTCTTGGAACGTACCCGGGCTAAGAGGGGACCACTGTACTGTGCCCAAACGTTCTAATCAAATCCGAAGACAGAAGCATGAGCACTCATAAGCTGACCATGCTCTTCCTGATACGATGTGGGTTTCTGTCCTTTAGTTTGGATGACCAAGAACAGCACCATCCAACAAAACTATAATGCCAGCCAGGCGCCTGGGTGGCTGTCAGTTCAGCATCTGCCTTCGGCTCAGGTCATGATCCCAGAGTCCGGGGATCGAGTCCGCATCAGGCTCCCTGCTCGGCGGGCAATCTGCTTCTCCTTCTCCCTTGGCTCTTCCTCCGACTCGTGCGTGCGTGCATACACACACACACACACACACACACACGCTTGGTCTCTCTCAAACAAAACAAAAAAACCCCCGAAACCGTTAAAAAAAAAAAAAATGCCAGCCAGCTACCTGTTTCTAAAGTTTCTAGTAGCCACAGTTAAAACACAAACAGGTAAGATTAACTTTATTGCTTTATTTAATCCATCATATCCAAAATATTAGCGTTCAACATGTAAGTAACAACTTTAACAACGACATACTTTATTGGTATTGTCTTCAAAGCTCAGTGTTTTTGATTCTCAATTTGGGTATTAAATTTCCATGAGAAAGGGCTGACCTTTATTTAAAATTTACAGTTGAAACAAGACTCACATACCATACTGAAGAGTTTTCTAAAAAGTGCATCAAGTTACTTGCCTTTAAGTTAAATAGAACTATGGGCGCCTGGGTGGCTCAGTTGGTTAAGCGACTGCCTTCGGCTCAGGTCATGATCCTGGAGTCCCTAGATCGAGTCCCGCATCGGGCTCCCTGCTCGGCGGGGAGTCTGCTTCTCCCTCTGACCCTCCCCCCTCTCATGTGCTCTCTCTCTCTCATTCTCTCTCTCTCAAATAAATAAATAAAATCTTTAAAAAAAAAAAAAAGTTAAATACAACTAAAAATTCAACCCCAGTTGGGCCGACTGCATTTCCCGTGCTCATAAACTGTGGCTAGTGACTACGTACTGGGCAGCAGGGGTGCAGAGAAGTGATTTGTCCAAGTGGGGTCCCCAGACCCACAGCATCAGCATCAGCTGGGAACTTGCTAGAAGTGCAAATTCTCAAGGCCCCCCCAGACCCACAGAACCAGAAAACTCTGGGAGGGGAGCCCTCCACACAATTATGAGCACTGGTCCAGAACAAACACCACCAACTAAGACAGCCCACAGAAATAGTTTTGATCACCTATTTGTGGAATGGAAACTGAATAGAAGCCCCTCCCCGCATTGTGTTTTGAGGCTCTGACACCAGGAATAATCGCCTGGATTTTATTAATCCAGGAGCAAGGGGAGGTCTGGATGTACAGGTGGATGACCAGTGGGTTAAGATCAGGACGCAACTCAAATGACATTTTGCTTCATGTTTCCCAATGCCCAGGGTCACAGGACATGGGGCGCTCTCACAGACCGAGGCCGTCAGGGTAGGCCCAGCACTTGCATCTGTATGGCCACAGGGCTGTTCTCTCAGTAGAAAAGGGACTGTGTGTGTGCAGGGGCTGCCTCTGAACAAGGGCCCTTAGGAAGGCAGGCCCACAGCCTCCCCCCTTCCTGGGCTCAGGTGCCTGTCAGAAGCCCCAAGATGAAGACCGAGTGCAATCAGCTGTGTGCTTGTGTAAGTGACTGAGGCTTCCAGAACCCTGGGTTCTTACTCAGGCCAGGGCAGAGCTGCCCTCTGAAGGATCTGAGTGTGCCAGATCAATCTTTACGTCACTTTATTTGGGGGGCAGGAGGGAGTAGCTTAGCCTAACTTAGAATATCAATATCCCTGTTTATTTTGCCAAAATTTGTACATGTTACTGGAAAATTTTTAACGGCATTTCCGACTGTTTGCCACGAGAAGCACAAAGGCCACAGAGCACAAGTACCGCTACCACGCTAAACACAAAACAAGCTAACGTGCCAGCGCAGCTGGTACGGTCGCATCATCTCTTTACTTTCCACCGGACAGAGAACCAAAGAATAGTTTATTGTTTTAGGTCTGTCTTGATTAACCAGGAGCAACTGATCACATAAGAGCTCTAGGCCAAATACGGTTATTTCAGAACCACCTATAAAAATGTTACTGCTAGATACGCTCCGTGCTGGACTGAACTGCGTTGGTAATTCGGGCTCGAGAAAGCTCACATCCAGACCTTCTCTCACCCTTCTTTACAACTAAGCCAACAGAGGAGCAAATAACTTCAACCGGTCAGTTATTAACTGCACTGCAATGACTCTTCAATGCTCGTCACTCGGACAAGAACCACTTGGTACAAAGCACCTGTCTTTGGGCATGCCCTCTGGACCCACACCTGAGTCGCTGAGCCAGCCAGCTGGCGGGCAGTGTTTAACGCTCCCGACGGCTTGGGTTCAGAGGCTCTGGCAGCTGCACACCTACACAGAAAGGCCAGACCAACAGTCATCGACCCCTTCATCGGCTCACCTGGAGAGCTGTGCGCGCAGCAAACCCTCTGCCTGGTTCAGGCCCAGACAACACAAGAAACTACCAGTAACTGAAAGGTAAATTTACGCCTCCACTTCCATTCAACGGCCGGTTCAGGCAAACGTTCTGACCGGAGAAGGGTGCTCTCGGTTATACCACTTGTGAATGGGTTGAACTGTGTCCCCACAAAATTATAGACTAAAAGTCTTAAACACTCAGAGCCTCAGAATGTGACATTTGGAAGTAAGGTTGTCACAGATGCAAGTAGCTGAAACGCGCTCAGATTGGGGAAGGACAGGACCCTAATCCAGTATGACCGTGTCCTCATAAAAAGGGGACATTTGGACACAGACACACAAGGAAAACGCAGGTGATGAAAGACACAGAGGATGGGCGGGGGGGGGGGGGGGGGGGAGACGCCCACAGCCAAGGGACGCCCAGAGCCTCTGGGAGGAGCCAGCCCGCCACACCCCATCTTGGACTTGTGCTTCCCGAGCAGGGAGACTGTGAACTCCTCCTGCTGGAGCCACCCAGGCCTCGGTACTTGGTTCTGGCAGCCCCTGGAAACAGCACAACTGGAATCGAACTTCAATTTAGGGTCCAATTTTAATTTAGATTACATTCAGCCAAACTCCTACAAAAAATATTTCACCTCAACAACTTAGCTCGGTACAAGGCTCAAAGTTGCCCCATCCCCACCACGGGGGTCAGGCGCGCCCACTGATGTCACGGTACGTGAGCCACACGCCAGAGCCGGCCTCTCTTCTCACCTGGCTGCGCCGACGGGGCGGCCCCCGTGCTTGCAGCTGTGATCCAGAGGGTGTCTATGCTGAATGCAGAAACTGCCACGGCACTGGTCACAGGCCACCTGCAGCATCTCTTTCTTCTTGCACCCCTCTTTCGAGCACCGGTACATAAAAAGCTGAGAAAGCAAGAGTTGCTTCAGTAAGCAATTATTTAACAAACCCCTAATAAAAAAAAAATGTTGGTAGTCTTAAGATTTTTTATTTACTTATTTGAGAGAGAGAGAGAGAATGAGAGAGAGAGAGCACATGAGAGGGGAGAGGGTTGGGAGGGTCAGAGGGAGAAGCAGACTCCCTGCCGAGCAGGGAGCCCGATGTGGGACTCGATCCCAGGATTCCAGGGTCATGACCTGAGCCGAAGGCAGTCGCCCAACCAACCGAGCCACCCAGGCGCCCCAAGACTACCAACATTTAAACTAGAAATGGTTCTTAGCTACAAGGAATGAAGATTCCAAGATTTCATTCAAACATCTGCCAGGTAAACAGGTGAATACTGAGGAGACTGGAAAGTTTTAACAAATAAACACAAAAGCAGCACCTTAAATTGGGGACTCATGTGAGACAACTGGAGGCCTTCTCAGCCAAAAAAAAACCTCTGCAGAATCCAGGGGAGTGGGGACCAGGGACATGGAAAGGACGCCAAGCCTGTGACATCATGTCCAGTCCCACAGAAGACAGCTGGCTCCAGGGGCTCTGGGGACATTCCAGGGAGCTGAAGTACCTATAGTTCCTATACCTGTTCTGTTATTGGGGTTTTGGGGTGTTTTTATTTGCCGGGGGCAATAAGGGTGGGGTGAAGGAGTGATATAAATTCCCAGGTACTGCTGACTCTGTGAAGTAAGGATGTTGGTCAAAAGGTACCCACCTAGAAGCCCGAGGGCAGTACTCCGGCAAAAACGGGCAGGCAGGGACTGCCTTCAGCAACCACAGCATGTGCTCACAGCACAGGGATGCAGGGTGCCTGCCCAGGAGAGCAAAGGAGGGTATGCCCGCCCTGGGGTACGGGGGTGGGGAGAGGGGACGGGCTTGGGTCACAAATCCTGGGTGAGCCAAGAACGAGGAAGACCTTGTCAATTCAGGAGGAAAGCATGCCAAGTGCAGCTGTGATCTTATATAGAGGCAGGGAGGTTTATAGAAGAACTTTAGAAAGACTGGAGGGCGCACAGCAAGAGTGGGGTAAAGAGAATGGGGTTATGGAGGGGGACTGGGGTTGGCTGGTTAATAAAGGGTTTTGGGGGCTAGGCATCCAGAGCTTATTCTCTCATGTTGGAGGCTGAAAGCAGCAAGCACGAGTTAATAAGACTTATGCTTATTTACTGAAACTGTTGTGTGCTTAATGTAACACGACCAGGTAGTTCATAACTATAAACCAGGATCCATGACTGGAAACTGGGATTTGGGCCTGACAAAAGCCAATTTCCTGGAGACAAGCTCCTTCAAAGCCCATGCGCTTATTTTGGAGAGCAACAAGACAGGAAAAAAAAGGAGCAGGGCATCTCGGAAAAATAACCTGAGTATCCTGGTAGGGCCTTCGGGAAGGGCAAGCCACAGAGCTGGTCGAGGCCAAACCCCAGGAAGGCCTGAGTGGCGCTGAGAATCTGCGGTCCAAGGGGAGAGGGGCACACGTTACGTGCCATCCACTGAGGGCAAGCTCAGTTCGAGTCTCCTTGGACTGCTGGCTAAGGAAGAACAACTGAACACGTACTGGATGACTCCTGAAATACAATGCAAATGACAGGAAGCAGATTCTCTAAAAAGCCCACAAGGGCCAAGAATAAGGGGGGGGGGGGGGACCAAACAGCTGCAAGATTTTAGGGGAAAAAAAAAAAAAGCACACAAACAAGTAATACTGAACCTGACAGATACAAGAAAGCCAAATTGTAAGCTGGTGGGGAAGGTCAAGCAGCATGACTATTCATGAAACAAAATCCCCAAAGGCTCACAAATCAGCCGTAGCAGCAGCTCAGGGTGCCGTGGGACTACAACAGGAGAAGTGGTGCGAGTCTGAGAAATAGACCTGCAGAGCTGCACCTGACCCCAGCAGAAGACACACGCTTGGCAGAGGGTCTGAGAGAGGCTGCTGGCGTGGGAGGTGTAGCAATGGGCAGGACGAACACAAGAAACATGGGAGGGGCACTCAGAAGGCAGTAAGGATTTCACGCTCCCTTCAGAGGGGATGCAAGAGCTCTCTCCACCTGGTTCCACAATCCTGGAAGCCAGAGCGTGCTCTCCAAGCAGGGAGCAGAACACCTTCTCGGGGGAATCTGATTAGCCCAAGAGAAAGACCTGAAATCACAGCACAGAAGGTGGACTGGGCAGATGACCTGCAGCAAAGGCGAGAGTCCACACTGCCCCCACCATGCTGCAGACTGGGAGATGAAGACGACGTTCACTGTGACGCAGAAAAAACATCCTGGACACAGAATTCACAGGGAAAGAAAACTTATGGAGGAACAAAAGGAGACCTATCCAGGAGGTCCAACACCCAAGAGACAGGAGTCTAGAGAAAATCGAAGAATCCAAGATGGCATTCCAGATGGAAACACTGGAGTTTCCAGTTTAGAAGGGTCCACTGCCTACCTAGCATGACAGATGAAGACGGATCCACACCAGGAACAGTAAATGTGAAGCTTCCAAACTCGGGGAAGGGGCTGGGGTGGGGAGGAGTGGGGTGGGGAGAGAGCCTCCAACCTGCCAGACAGAAAACTGGTCCCACAAAGGACCATGTAGAACAGCTGGGAAATTCTCTAAAGCCACAGCAGAAACGAGAAAATGAACCAGCGCCTGCAAATATTCAAACAAAGATCTGAAAGCCAGGCTGCTATCCCCAGGCAGCTAAGCAAGGAGAAACAGAGAACGAAGACCCAGCGAGATACATGACCTCCCATTTATCTTCCATGGTCCTTCCTAGGGAGCAAGTGGGGCAGAGGCCTCCCCACAAATAAGGGAAAACTAAGAAAGAAAAACACAAGACACAGGAGACTAGGGACCCCTGGTAAGAGAGATAGATGCAGGAAACTAGGATCTAGCATAAGAAAAATGCAGAGGGAATCTCTCAGCTGTGGAGACCTGTAACACCAGCCCAAGAGCCACCTCTGCTGGGAGGGCGGGGGTGGCAAGAGATGTGGCCACGTAGGAATGGGGGGGAGGGGAACTCCATGCTCAGCCCACGGGGTGGTAAACAGGTAATGCCCAAAACTACAGGGGAATAAGACAAACTCGAGAGACAATACACACACTTGGAAAAAAAGGAAGTACCCCAAACAAACAAGACTAAGAGTTGAAAGCACCTGCTGTGGAGAACAGGTGCCTACTGTTTTTCCTAACATGATTTACTCCAAATGAACAAATGTAGAGCTTTCACAAAGATACTAAAGCTACAAAAGCAAGAATACTGAATGTTCAAATTCTATGTATCTTTTTACATTTTCCTAGGAGGAGCTTAGGAAAAGTGCACATTAACAGAATGGTTCTAGGGGCGCCTGGGTGGCTCAGTTGGTTAAGCGACTGCCTTCGGCTCAGGTCATGATCCCAGGGTCCTGGGATCGAGCCCCGCATCGGGATCCCTGCTCCTTGGGGAGCCTGCTTCTCCCTCTCCCTCTGCCTGCCGCTCCCCCTGCTTGTGCTCTCTCTATCAAATAAATAAAATCTTTAAAAAAAACCTAGAATGGTTCTAGAAACCACATTAACTCTCCATCTGGAGAGAAAAACCTAAGAATCCTATAAGGGAAGCAAATCCTAATACAGACTCTAATATTCAAGAGTATGTTCATGTAACTTTAAGAACCTAAGCCATCACAACATGGGAAAACACTGACACATCACTAAGGTTTTATTTTTGTACACAGTTGACTAGGACTACAGATCATACTTAGATAATCGGCCTTTTCCACCCTACGGAAAAACCCACATTCACAGAGTAAACGTAATTTGTCCTTACCTTCTCTTTCTTCCGAGGATGGTAGTTACAGTCTCGATCAATGTGCTCACCAACCACCACATCTGGTATCTCTCCCTTTTTTACTGGGACAGGGTTGTTACAAAGTGGGCACACTGGGACCTGAACATCCTAAAAATAATGATAGAAGATGATATTCCAGATTCAATCAAAACTCACAAAAGAAAAGGTACGACAGCACAGTGCACTGAAAACCACATAAGGTACACACACCGATCTTCCGACCGCTCATTAGAAGGGGACGCTGTTAACACAAAGGATTAACAGTAAGGCAACCCTACAGATTCAGGAGAGGTGGAATCCAGGGGAATGTAAACATGACAGACTATTAACCAACTGTAGAAATGACCCTGAGACGACCAGTAAAAGGCAGCCAAAGAAAGAAGCCGATGACATTGATCTGGTCTCAGGGCAGCAGGGCTGTCTGTCCAGCACCATCTCGGTGAGTGGTGAAGAAGCCCGAATCCCTCAGAATGGAGAGAAAGAAGAAAACACTAGCCATAAAGACCCTCCAGTTCCCTTTAACTGCCAACAGCCTATCTGGTTCTTTTGTGGCTTTCACACGCAAGGAGATTCACTCACCTGACAGAGCACACGGCTAGGCTGAGCTCTCAGGTACCTAATGACCCAAGACCGTGGGGGCTCTGGAGGGAAGAACAAAGCACCCAGCAGCTGCATGCCCAGCAGTTAAAAAACCTCAGAGCTAAGGCAGGAGCTAAGGAAATTTAGCTCACGAAGAAAACAGAGGTGACAACTGACATCCAAACAGTTAATCAAAGAATTATGGGGCCTACCGTCTGTAGGGGCTGAGCTGAAGGGTCACCCAGAAGCACTCCCTCAGTTGACAAGTCCGCCATATTGAGAAGTAAAGCATTACTAATGATCTCTAGCCACACTCTCCCTATCTAGAGACATGGGGAGGTCAAGCCAACAAATAAACTGGGTAATGCGGCCTAGTCATCGGGGCCTGGTAAATGAGTCACCCTCCCCCGCCCTCCATGATGACCTAGAAAATCCTGGCCAACACTAACGAAAGCATGTAACAATGCTAAGTCATCCAGGTTTCTAACTGCCATCCTACGGAAGCAGCAGTACAGACACAAAGAAGTCACTAAAATAACCTCTGAACCACCGGAAACAAAATGAATACAGGGCCACCTGCAAAGTCAGTAACAGAGGTATCACACCTTTGGACTCACACATGCTGGTTTTCTTAGAGTCCTCTTCATCTTCCCATTTTTACTAGGTACTATTTGCCACTAAATAGGATCCCAAGGCTGCAAAGTTACCCAGATAAGCCTTTTTAATACCTCCCAGATTAGATACCTTGTCAACAATTAAACTGTTTCTTGCGCTTCACAAAGATACTGCTATGTTTTTTCTCGACATAACGAATCAAAGGACCAGAATATTTTAACATGCAAAGTAAGCTTTGAAGGTTTGGATACAACAATTTGACTTCAAGAGCCCCTAAAAATGAAACCAGTTGCTTTAGAGCTGTGCCATCCAGAACTCCCTGTGATGGTGGAAACGTGCCACATCTGCACTGTCCAATACAGTACTTACTGGCCACATGTGGCTGCTGAACACCTGAAATGTGGCTGGTGCAACTGAGAAGCTGGATTTCAAGTCTCATTTCATTTTAATGCATTTATTAGCTATATGTGGCTAATGTCTACTATTTGGACAGCACAGCTTTGGAGAGTGAAAAATAGACTCTTTGGAATGAAGTATGATAAATTACCTTCTTGAATGCAAAGGGACATTTATGTGCAGCACAAGTAAAATGGTCTTTACAGAAATCTTGTTTACATGCATCACATTTTAAGGGAAGAAAATCTAGAACAAAAAAACAATAGCATTTTAAAGATCAGGACAAAAAGAATTACAGAGCACATTAAACAGGTATTTACCTACACTGAGTTCTTTACGCCTATCAAATGTATCCTTGAGGTACCACATGTGAGAAAAAAATTGGGGATCACGAATTTCACAATGCCAGCAATACTGAAGAATCTATAAAGCTATGTTTTCTTTTCAAGATTTTATTTCTTTCTTTTAGAGAGAGGCTGCGGGCGGTAGGGGGAGGGCACAGAGAGAAATTTAAGCAGACTCCCTGCTTAGCTCAGGAGCCCAATGCAGGGCTCCATCTCACAACCCCGAGCCAAAAACCAAGAGTCGGACGCTTAACCAACTGAGCCACCTAGGCACCCCTGTAAAGTTCTCTTTTCAAAAGACACCCATCCCATGTAGTATCACAAATATTTAAGCAGCACGCTTGTCTCCACTTGGCCTTGGCCCTGGTACCTGGCCTTCAGTAGATGCTGAATAACAGGGCTGAACAGAACCTGCACCTCAGGCCAGCCTCCCAACACTGAAAGGCCAGCCGAGCCAAGACCCAGAGAACAGCTAATTAACAAAACGGCTAGTTCTCCCCGACTAAACAGCTAACAAAACACACCTTTTCTAACATTCTCTTAAAAGCACTTACCTAGGGCACCTGGGTGGCTCAGGTGGTTAAGCCACTGCCTTCGGCTCAGGTCACGATCCTGGAGTCCCGGGATCGAATCCCGCATCAGGCTCCCTGCTTGGCGGGGAGACTGCTTCTCCCTCTGACTCTCCCCCTTCTCATGCTCTATCTCATTCTCTCTCTCAAATAAATAAATAAAATCTTTTAAAAAAAAATAAATAAATAAAAGCACTTACCTAGCTGTTTGCAAGTTTTTTCTGAACAATGCTTCCCCAAATCAGGGAACTCCATTATGAGGAAGTGTCCAAAACACAGATGGCAGATGGATCACCTACAAGAATTAAAATAGTTATGGGTGCCTGGGCGGCTCAGGTCATGATCCTGGAGTCCCGGGATAGAGTCCCGCATCGGGCTCCCTGCTCAGCGGGGGGTCTGCTTCTCCCTCTGCCCTCTTCCCTCTCGTGCTGTCTCTCATTCTCTCTCAAATAAATAAAATCTTTAAAAAAATAAAATAAAAAAAGAATTAAAATAGTTAGGAAAGGTACGATGGCCATAATTTCCGTCCCGAGAGTTCATAACCTACCGCTAAGAAAATAAACATGTTCTGTGGGAAGCATTCAATGCCCAAGTCATCCTGGGCCCCTGCAGAGCACTAAAGCATCACAAATTCTTGCTGCCTTTCAGCAAAAGGAGCTTGAGTACAAGTACCAGCTCCTTCAGGATCCATTATGACAGCGACTGTTTCTTGGTCCTTTAATTTCCTACTTGAAAAAGCTCACCCAGAATTCAGGTTTGAGTAAAACCATTCTGACTCACGTTGACAGGGTCTTCCCATATCCAACTTACACAAAGGTCTGCAAAAAGTTGGGCCACGATTTCATGGAATGAGTACACTTGTTGACATACACAAAACCCTTACGAGGCACTAAATCACGTTAGTTGACGACACTATCCCCAAGAGCTCCGGCTCGTCCCTCCGGTTCTCAACTCCCTCATGCATGGAGTTCTACTTGCACCTTGCTCCCTAAGGACAATCAACCTGGAGTTGAGGAGGGAGAGGAGCAAGCGCTTAACTCACGGCGCAAACCAGGTGGACGTGGGCTGAAGCTACTCTGGAGGGAACTTGAGCCCTTCCAGGACCCAGCACCCCCAACACGCTCGCGAGGTCCCTCCCAGGGGTCAGGTCCTGAGGGTCCACTCCGCGGAGGCTCTGCCATGCTGTCCCCAGCCCCCCCCGCTCCTCCCCTCGGGTCACGGTGCAGTCACTTCCTCCAACGGGGCCTTCGCCCCGACCGTCACAGCTGCCCTACCCCCTCAAAGGGCTCTTAATTCCCGTCCCCGCACCCACTCACTGCGGCCCCAACCGCAGGCGGGCTCTCCACGGCCCGCGCCCGGAGCGCAGGACCGCGGCGGGGGCGCCCGTGGCCGTCTCGTCGGGCCCAGCCCTGGACACGGCAGCGGTGAGAGCCCACGGTCGGGGGCTCGTTCGGCCGGCACCTGAAGCCCTCCGCGGCGTGCGGATCGGCCCCCGCGCCCGTCCCCCGTCCCCCGTCCCCGGACCTGGCTGTCGTCGGGCGCCCGGGCGGCTGCGGAGGCGAGCGGGAGGCGGCGGGATGTCCCTCCCGGCGGCCACCCACAAGGGACAAGACCAAAAGGCTGGGGAAAGCGGGATCCGCGGGAGAGCGCGGGAGAGCGCGGCATCGCGTACCGCCGCTTCCCCAGCCATTTATGCCCGGCCTCGGTTCAAAGAGCCGCCGCGACTCGCGTGCGCCCGGCGCGCTCCGATGACGTCAGCGCCGGCCGGCCAATCCCGCCCCCGCCGCGGCCCCGTCGGCCCGCCCCCTCCTCGCTCCTCCGCCTCCCTTCTCGAACAGTCCGGCCCCTTCTCGGAGCCGCTGAGTCACGGTGAGGCGGCGCCGCGCAGGCGCGCTCGGCCGGTTGCGCGGCGCGGGAAAGCTGAGTCACGGCGGCGAGGCGGCGGCCGTTCGGCGGCCGTGTGGAGGGGCGGCCTCCCTGGGAGCCGCCACTGAGAGGCTCCGAGCCCGCGCCGTAGAGGTGCCACCGCGAGGTACGGAGCCGGCACGGCCGGGCGGCGTGGGCGCGGGGGGCGCCCCGAGTGGGAGAGGGGGGCCTGACCGGGGGGGAGAGGACGCCTTCCGCCTCGACGGAGAGCTTGCCTGTCCTCGCCTCGTGGGCTCCCCGGTGCTGCCGCGTCCCTCACGGGTCCCCTCAGCGCGGTCCCCTCCCCACGTCTCCTCACCGTGTCCTCTGTGTCCCTTCGCCGGCTCCCCTCACTGGGTCCCCTCATCATGTCCCTTCGCCGGCTCCCCTCACCACGCCCCCTCCCCGCGTCCCCTCACTGTGTTCCTTCACCGGGTCCCCTCACCGGGTCCCCTCCCCACATCTCCTCCCCGCGTCCTCTGACCGCGTCCCCTTTCCACGACCCCTCCCCGCGTCTCCTCCCCACGTCCCCTCATGGGTCCCCTCCCTGCCTCTCCTCACCTCGTCCCCTTTCTGCACCTCCTCGCTGCGTCGCTTTACCGTGTCCCCTTGGCAGTTCGGCCGCACTCCTGCCCCCGCCAAACGTGTGCGCGGGTGGCTTTGGTCCGAGCGTGTTACTTTGTGAGGTCCCAGCAAACCGAATGGGCAGGTGCTCTGCGGGGACCTGGTCACGGTCGCCTCAGGTCGCCCCCAGCAGTCACCCCCTAACCTTTCTTCACGTGTGTTTCTGTTTAAAGACAACTTGCCCTGATACGTTGTTGGTTTGTTCACACTGAACTCGGGCCGGCAGTGCCTACGTCCTGTCCGACCCGGCCCGTCTGCTGCCGTTCTCTGTGAGGTGCATCGCAGCCTCCTGGGGCTTAGGAAACGGGACAGCACCTCAACTGCGGCCTGAAGGCCGCTTGAACCCGAAAGAGTGCCTCCCGAGGCTCGGAAATGCGAAGACCGTACACTAAGTAGGCTGGGACGGAAGCTTACTTCCCGTGTCAGAACGGAAGCAAGAAGGAAGGACGGTGTCGTCTTGTCCCGCCTTGGCTGGAAGTGTGTTTCTCAGGCAACTCAAGTTCTCTGCTGCTCAGTCCATGTCGGCGAGTAAGTGCTGAAGTACCGCGAGTGTTGATTTTGGAGTACGAATGGATTCAGCAGATAGGCACATTCACAGGTGTGGAAACCACAAGTAACAAGAAGTGTGTGTGTGTGTGTGTGTGTGTGTACGTGTACATACCATTTTCCCTAGTCTTTTTCTGAACCGTTTGAGGATGTGCTATAGACCTGATACCCCATTACCCCAAACATCTGCGTGTATATTTCCCAGAAGCGGACACCCCTTCGCAGCCATTCTGTAACCATCCACATGAGGAAATCAGCGTCAAAACAGTATTAAGGTCCAATCCGCAGACTCCATTGGATTTTGCCAACTATGTCAATGTCTCCTCCTCTTTTCTGCTCTCGGGTCCCATCCACAATCCTATGTGCAGTCTCCTTCATGCTGGGAGAGGTCTTCCATCCTTCTTGTCCCTAGTAGTTTTTATTATTAAAGACCACAGGCTTATACATAGGAGATGTCTCGGGGTCCATGGGCGTTTCCTGAGGACCAGATGCAGGTCATGTTTCTTGGTAGGAATACCACAGGAATGGTGCTGTGCCGCAACCCATCCTACCGTGGGTGATACTCGTCTTGATTATCTAGTCATGTAGAGGTCTGCCAGGTTTCTCCTTTTTTTTCATTTGTAAATATATTAGTATTTTGTAGGGAGATGTTCAAAAATTCCACCATTCTTTTTTTTTTTTTAAGATTTTTATTATTTATTCATTTGAGACAGAGAGAGACAGCAGGAGTAGTGGGGAGGGGCAAAGGGAGGGAGAAGCAGGCTTCCCACTGAGCAGGGAGCCCGAAATGGGGCTTGATCCCAGGACCTGGAGATCATGACCTGAGCCGAAGGCAGATGCTTAACCATCTGAGCCACCCAGGCACCCCCCATTATTTTATTCTTTATCAACTTTTGCCTGATAACTTTAAGTTCTATCAGTGACTTTTGCCTGGATCACTATGATCATTGCCAAAGAGTGCTTTTTATTTTTTTAATTATTTTTTAAAGTAAGCTCTACACCCAGTGTGGGGCTTGAACTCACAGCCCTGAGATCGAGTCACCTGCTTTACCAACTGAGCCAGCCAGGCGCACCCCCCCCCCCCCAAATAGTGCTTTTTAAAATTTCCATTGTTCATTTCACATTTATTAGTTGGTGGTCTATAAGGGAGAGGCTTCCTTTTTGTTTTTTATTTATATCAGTATGGACGTGTGGATTTCTCTTTTATTCAGTGGTGGTGCTCTGCTGCTGTCCTTTTGATGGCCAGAGAGCCACGTCTAGCTGGCTCTTGAGTCTTTCTGACATGTCCCTGTCATCCTTTGCTCCCTTCCTTGCCTAGCCATTTCTCCAAGGAGCTTTGTTTCTTTTTAGTGGAGGATGGTATTTAGAAATCAAGATTTGAGTGATGCCTGGGTGGCTCAGTCAGTTAAGCATCTTCCTGCAGCTCAGGTCATGATCCCAGGGTCCTGGGATTGAGTCCCACATCGGGCTCCGTCCTCATCAGAGAGCCTGCTTCTCCCTCTGCCTTCCGCTCCCGCTGCTTGTACATGCACTCACTCGCTCTCTCTCTCTCTCTCTCTGACAAATAAATAAATGAAATCTTAAAAAAAAAAAAATCAAGATTTGAGTGTGTGGTGTGCTTATTGCTAGTAAGGTTCATTGCTTCTAGGCCTCAGTGAACGTGGGTCAGGAAATGTATGTATATTTGCTTATATATAAAGACACATCTATAATTGTCTTTACTTGTATATATATTTTAAGGAAAACATTCATATCCTTATCTTCAATTCCAGTCCAACAACTCAGGATTTTTGGAATCTTCTCTTTGTGTTTATAAATAACTTCTCCAGCAATAAAAACCCAAGTTTCATTATTCTTTTTTTTTATTTTTCAGTCTATGTATTTATTTGCTTAATGTAACAAACCACTCAGGCCATCATCTCCACCTCCACACCTGCTTTGTGCTCACCCCCTCAGCACTCCACATCCTTGAGCAATTGTAGGCACTGCTTCCACAAACTCCCTCCACCTTCTTCAAATTGGTCAAAATCCAGTGCCAGTCAAAGCCTTCAATTTTCTTCCAGAAGGATTCTTCAAAAGAAGATAATTTACTAAGGAAGCATCAATACAAATACAAGCCTTTAAAATCATTGTCATTTTTTGTGGGTCAAAAATCACATATGTATTACTATCTTTTTAATAGTCCTAGTGCAGAACTTTAATTTCTCAAGTCTTCCAGTAAATACAAATACTCGCTACTTCAATCCTATAGACACTCAGATTTCCAAAAGTCAAGAATGTTAAGTAATCAGTGTTAAAAAATAAGTTATAATTAAATGAATCAATTACTATTAGAAACTGGGTTAGATATTGCCCTTTCCTGTGAATTTTATGCTAATGTTGAAGTGAAAAACCTTTAGATCCACATATTCCCAGATTATCTGGGTCTTGTTACAACCAATTGTAACACTAAAATGTGAAGTTTTATATTTACATTAACTACTGAGTTTTAGAGGAAAAATCCAAATTCTTGCATGGAATCAAATTTGCCATGCTGCAAATTCATAGTTTTGCACTTGGTAATATTTCTTATTGCTGCTGTAACAAATTACTGCAAGTTAAGTGGCCTAAAACACAGACATACTATCTTACCATTCTGGAGGTCAGAAGTCAAAAATGCATCTCAGGCCTAAAATCAAGGTGTTAAGGCAACATTCCTTCAGGGGGCTGTAGGACATACCTTTCGTGCCTTTTCCAGCTTCTGGAGGTTGCCCATGATCTTTGGCCTATCACATCACCTCAACCACTACTCCATTGCCACATCTTGTCTGACTCTTATTCTCCCCCTTTCACATAAAAGGATTGCATTGGGCCTACCTGTGCAATCCAGGATTATCTCCGCACTGAGGATCCTTAGCATGAGCACATCTACAAAGTCCCTTTTGTCATGTGAAATAACAGATTTGTGGTTCCAGGGATTGGGACATGGACATTGGCGGGGGGGGGGGGGGGGGGGTTGGATTATGCTGCCTACCATAGGTAGTGACCACACTGCCATAGAAAAAAAACAAGATTACTTTTTTTTTTTCCCGAGGGGGGTAGGGGCAAGGAGGAGAGGGAGAGAAAGAATCAGAGCCTGATAATGGGGCTCAATCTCAGGACCCTGAGATCATGACCTGAGCAAAAATGAAGAGTGGGACGCTTAACCGACTGAACCATCCAGGCACCCCCAAGATTACATTCTTTAAAATAAAAGTAAAACGTGGGCGCCTGGGTGGCTCATTGGTTGAGCGACTGCCTTCGGCTCAGGTCATGATCCTGGAGTCCCGGGATTGAGTCCCTCATCGGGCTCCCTGCTCAGCAGGGAGCCTGCTTCTCCCTCTGACCCTCCTCCCTCTCATGCTCTCTTATCATTCTCTCTCTCAATAAATAAATAAAAATGCTTTAAAAAATTATTAAAAAAAATAAAACGTTAAAAATTTTTAATGTTATCTCCTTTTTAAATGTAAAATTTAAATGCTTTAATTTTATCTCCTTTTTAAAATGTAAAAAAGTATTTAATGAAAAACATCCAAATTTTGAATGTTTTCAATACAACCAGATTCACAAATGAGTTTTTAACCAAAGAAAATAAATGTAATTGGTTGGACGCTATCTCACCTCCCCAGACACAGACACAACAATCACATGTGTGCACACATACATGGATGGGCATTTGCATGCCTTGTGCGGACCAGAATTCGCCCACAGCATGAGCTGGCACATGGGGAGTGTCGGGAGAAGATGTGAAAGTGGACACCCAGGGGCTTTACCAGGAGTGCACTTGGTCTACCTCTGCTGTTCTTTTTGGTCCTGATCTGGCTAAGACCACACCAAATTGTTGTGGGAACAAAATACCAAGTCAGATTTTTAAAATGCAGCTTTTGCCATTAACTGAAGTCTGCATTCATACAAAAAGTTGCCACTAAGCAGAAGTAAGTGACCTCCGTACATCTTCTTACCACATCAAGATTAAGGGCTTCCTAAGATGTCCTCTGAGAACTGCCTTGTGGTCAGCAGGGAAGGAAGGACCTTGTAATATGACGGTCCACGGGGGAGCGGAGACAGACCTTGGAGCCTTGGTTGGCAAACCTCAAGAAATCTGCTTCAAAGGAAGAGGCCACAGTGCATGTCCACTTAACACTATCCTCTATCAAGGGACCAGTGTTCTTCACCAAGAGGTCACTGTTATGATCTCTATTTTAAATACAAGGAAACCGAAGTACAGAAATGTTTGAAACACAGGCTCCTGAGTCCACATTTGCAATTCTTTCTCTGCTACCGATGCTAGCTAGAGATGAGGGTGGAGAGGCAGGCCGGGACCAGACCATGCAGACTTTATCTTGAATGCAAAGAGGTATTGTTGAAAACTTATAAGAGACTGACCTTGAGCAGTGGACAGGGCACAAAGTTTATATATACTTCACACAACTGTACAAAAAAAATCAGTTTCTCTGTTTTCTAAAATGAAACTTAGCTTTTTTTTGGAGCCCCCAGACTGCCGCAGGCCAGCAGCTGTTCTCATCCCAGCCTGCAGTTTTTGTTTGCTGTCTGTCTGGGTCCAGTTCATCTCGACCTCAGTCACTGTCAGGCTCAAATCTTGGTTATTCCAAGCCTTCTTCCTCCAACTACTTCCTTTCTTCTTCGGTGGCATCTGGGGTTGGGGAAGCTGGATAGATAATCTCATGGCAGCAGAGGCTCTGGCATACATGCCAGCCAGTTCCTCCCTGGCCCCTGCAGGTAGTGAGACCTGTCCCACCACCTGCTCATAGGCTAACATTTGCTGCTGCTGGCCTCTGATCATGAGCTCATTAACATGCATTGTTAACCTGCCCAGACCCTAAGTTACATGTTTCAGTGACTTTCCCAGGGTCCCATGCCAGTGCACGTGGGGGTTTTGGGAGTTTCCTATAACTTTCATGAGGAGTATGGCTCTAGAGGCACCATCTCAGGTCCTCTCCCTGTTTGACCACATCCTAGGTATCCTCTACTGCACTCTCCCTGCATTGGCGCAGAGAAGTGTGCTCTTCCAGAGGTAGAGAGGGGAAACCAGGCATGGACCCCTCTGCTTTTATATTATCCTTCTACTCATCTGAATTGTTTGTCATTCAACTGAGGGTTGTAGCATGAGCATCGGGTCCATTCTCAGGGACCCAGACAGGTGTCTTCTCTTTCAAAACTCTTCAAACTTCTCCCCAGCCCTGGAAATAATTTTTTACCTAGGTTGCAGGAAATTTCTCTCATATTATATCTTTGGGTTTCTTGCTCTAGGGTAAATCTCCAAAGCTTTGGTTCCTGGTTCTTTTTTCTCTCTTTTGAAAGCCTTGCTTTTAAGATTGTGGCTTGCTATGAGCTCTTAGAAGTTTAGGTTTAAGGGCGCCTAGGTGGCTCAGTTGGTTAAGCGACTGCCTTCGGCTCAGGTCATGATCCTGGAATCCTGGGATCGAGTCCTGCATTGGGCTCCCTGCTCAGCAGGGAGTCTGCTTCTCCCTCTGACCTCCCCCCTCTCACACACACACTCTCTCTCTCTCATTCTCTCTCTCTCAAATAAATAAAATCTTTAAAAGTTTAGGTTTAAAACTCAGAACTGAGCAATAACTTCTTTGGGCAGACCTTTCTTTGCAGCTATGAGTGTCACCTCCTGGCCTAGTCTTGATGGTGGAAAACGTCTCAATAATGGAGAAGGGAAAATACATTGACATTATGCCCACATACACATTGTACTTTAAAACATTTATTCAGCTGCAGTATGTATAAGACAGATTGAAGTGAGGCAGGAGCAGAAGTGGGAGAGCAAATAAACTGTTACTGCAATCTAGGTAGGAGATGACAGTGACCACGGAAATGCAGAAACCTTACTCACCTTCACAGCTTCTCTTGTAGGTAGGTCATGAGCATGTGATCCAGTCTTTCAGGGGAAGAGGGGCTTCTGGAAAAAGATCTCCCTAATAAAAAAGAGATACTCATTAGGACAAACCCATTTTCAGTAAGGTATTTTTTGGGATGCTTGGAAATAGTAGCCTTTTCACTAACATGAAGGGCCAACATTAAGGACCATGTCCTTATGCTGAGCTGACAGGAGAAAGGTGGAAGTAGCCAGGTAGAGATGGTGATATTGAGCTGCTGGTTGGCTTCCTTGCCTCTGGATTTCTGATAATGTGAGATAACACATATCCTTATTGTTCAAGACATTTTTTGTTGTTTTTCCTCTTGTTGGTAGCCAAAAATACTGTTACCTGTAACTGGAAAAATTATTTCAATTCAGGACATATCAGCTATGAGACAAAAGAGAAAAGTGGGTGAATAAGCAATTGGATACATGCATCTGGGACTCAGAGAAGAGGTCTGGAGACAAGATGTGGAGAAGAGGATGCAGGACTATACCTTAGAAAAGCCAGCTCTGGAAAACCAGACTAAGAATGAGCAACCAGAGAACTCAGGAGGAAAATGAGGGGGAGGCATTATTGAAGCCAAGGGAAGATGGAGATTTCAAGAGGGAGAATTGGCTAACCGGTTCCTGCTGCTGAGATAACAAGACAAAACATAAAGTGTCCACTGGGGTTAGTGATGGAGAGGTCACCATTGTCCTAGAATGGTCCCAAAGGCAGAAGAGGAAGTCAGACTAGTGGGTGAAGAGGACAGTAAGGTGAAGGCATGGAGTCTGGATGGAAGAAGCAGAGAAGCTCTTACCCAGAAAGAAAAACAGTGAAGTACATTCTCCTAGTCCCACCCTGCTGGCCTAGCCTAGTTCAGCAGGTGACATCCCACTGCCCCTTTTCCACAAGATACTCTCTCTTCTGCTCAGACATATAGTCAATATTACCTTTACATTTGTAACTCATATCCTCAACAAATATTTATTGGGTGCCTGTTGTGTACACAGCACCCTGTTTGGCTTCAAGAGAATATAAGAAAAGATTAAATGGGGTCCCTATCTTTGCCCAGGAGCTTACAGTTATGATTGTGGAGAAAAACCCACATCCTGAAACAACTGGACATTAAGTGTAAACATTGTATTTATGAGGTTGCAGGGCAGGGGCTGTAATCATGATTGGAGATCAGAGAATAAAAACTTCCCAGAGCAAGCCTGAAAAATTTGGGCTGGACTATCTAGGAAAATTTCACAGTGGGGGGTGCTCCAGCAGACCCTTAAAGACAGGAGATGTGGACTGAGGAGGGGACTGCTGAAGCCAAGCCATGTGTTTTGGTTGCAAATAACAAGAACTCACCTCAAAATAGATTTTCCCAGAAGAATTTATTGGCTCCTAGACTTGAGATGGGCCTGGATCCAGGAATTTAGACAAGGTCTTCCCCACCTTCCCTCTGAATGCTGGCATCTCTGTTCTATTGCGGAGTAGCCTCATCTTGTGACAGAAGCATAGATGCCAGCAACCTGGGCTACAGAGACACTTTTGAGGGTGAAAATGGGGTGCTGCTAATAGTTTTCTTGGGACAACAGGCATAAACTGGGACCCTGCTAGGAAAACTGGGGCACAAGATTATCATAAGCAAATGTTCACTCTGTGGCCACTGTCTGACAGCCCCGCCAGAATCACATGAAATGGGAGAGAGACAGTACTGCAAAGACTTTGTGCCATTACCAGATGAAGGAGGAACAAGAATGCTGGAATCCTAAAAGCAATGGTGTCCACTATTCATCATGCGTTGGCAATTCAGGGAAAAGAAGAGAAAAAGACCAAAGAGTAAAGCACAAATTTCAAAGTCAAGCTTACTAGATAAAGACAGAAGACTTGGAATTTGAGAGAGAGAAATCTGAACTTCATTTGACTGGTAAGGAAGACAGAACATTGTCCAAGGAATTAGTACATACAATGGATGTCTGGGGAGACAAATCTGGGAGTGAGTTCCAGGATATTTGGGAGGTTCAGAGAGGAGCTAGGGTTGTATACGTGGAGTCCTGAACTGTTGAGGGTGCTGGTATGGTGGAGGTGCAAAGAAAGATATATTCAGAAAGCAGGTGAAAAAAACAAAAAGAATCAGGAGACCTTCTTGGCTGATTGGGCATGAAGGACAGAGAAGAAGCAGACACACCAGTTCAAGCTTGGAGAAGCTAAAGTGGCAGGAATGGGAAAGTTACCAAGGGTAGCAATTTGGCAATGAGGCAAGTCTCTTGGGGTCATGTTAAATTTTGAAGAAGTTGTATGAATGGGGAGAACACAGGATTAAAACTGGTATACTATTTAAAGGCAAGATAATGAATAAAGTATGCCCAAAAGAGAGTAAGAAGAGGCCAGAATCAGGCCTGAGGAGGGCCTGCAACTAGGTAATGGGAGGAGGAGGAAACAGAAAGCCTATAGCAGGATTGGAAAAGAATGCTAAAGCAGCATAGAGGAGAGGCCACAGGTGACAAGCAACACCAGGTGCTTTGCTGAATTCCACATGAGGACTGGAAGCCTGCAAGAAGTTTACCTAGACAGATATTTACGACTTTTAAGAAAGTCGTTTCCTTATAATGGTCTAGCATTCGGGGCACTCAGGCTTGTGCTATGTAACAGACAATCTCAGAGTCAATGCAGTTGGAAACAACAAAGGCTTATTTCCTGCTCAGATGTCCTGTCCCTGATGTATACACAAGCTCCTGGTCTACCTGCTCCACATTGTCCTCACCTCTGATGCCTGGGATGATAGAGTGATCAGTATTGGAAGTCTTGCTAGTTGCCTTGGCAGAAAGAAAAAAAGTGGCCACAGGGGCCTCGCACTGGCCTTAAATCCTCCTGCCTGGGAGTTTCAGAGCTCACTGGTTGAAGCCAGTTGCACACCCAAGCAGGGGGTCCAAGAAGCACAGTCCCAGCAGGTGCCCAGAAGGGGAGAACTGAAATAGTTGTCTAAGAGGAACAATGATTAGTGTGGTGGTGGAGATTGGACATGAGGCTGAAGGAGGGGTAGACAGTGGAATTTGCTTGTCTAATGCTCAGTTATGTATCTGCTCTCCTAGGGATGTTATTCTTGGTGTTAAACCATAAGCCCCCTGAGGACAAGGACTATGCCCTTTAACCCTTTGTACATGGTACTTATGCACCTCATTGTGTTAGGTAGACTCCTTCAGGTGACAAAACTAGAGAGAGATTCTCCGATCACATCAGGGCTTCACCATAAGGACTCTCAGGGAGGAAGAAGTGTCTCAGTGCAGCCTTAAGAGAAGGAAATGTGTCTCCTCAAATCTGAGTGGCCCCATAAACGTTTGCATGTGGTGGCCTCATAATGAATACACCAATGATGTAAACTCAAGTTAGGCCAATTTTCCTACTGGAGACTGTCCTAGGAGCACTAGGAACAAAGGCCTTCTGGGTGGGATTGCCGACCCCTGCTGCCAGTGCTGCAGATGGCAGCCAGTACGAGTACTCTGTCCTCTAACTGACATCGTCTGTAGGTCTCTACAAAGGCTTTGGCTCTGTGAATCTGAGAGTCACAGAGGGAGGCATGATACTTTGAGTCAAAATTGCCAACAGAAATCAAATTGTATTCCCTCAGACATGTGAGCAGAGCATAAATATTTCATAGACACGAAGTCAGCTAGACAGAGATTTTAATTCCAGAAAGTGATCATAAGGTAAACTACAGGAGATGCGGCTTATGATTTGTCTCATGACACATTTTTAAGTAAGCAAAAGCCCTGTGGAATAAAAATAAACTTGCTCAGGTTCCCCAGTGAATGGGAAGCAGCTGAGTGGAGCAGAGACGAGCTAATGTTTTCTTTTTCCATCTTGTAATTTTGTGATGTGATGTTATCTAGCATATGGGACCCTTTGTATCACAGAATCTGTGTCACATGACTCTTGCTTACTCCATCCTTCAATAACAAACCAGGGCAAGGTCTTCTGTTTCCAATATTTTTCTAAATATTTTTAGAAATGACCTTGGAGAACCCTTTGCTCAGTGCTCGTTGAGCCCCCAACAGTGAGGAGCGAGTGCCTGCTTGTTGGTAATTGTCCATGTAAAATGTTGTATATGACTGGAAATGCAAATACAAAATTAGAAAAGTGAAAAGGGAGCCCACATTGAAAATGTGGCAGAAACACTCACCCTTGTGAGGACCTTTCAAACCTCCTGTTAGAATGATTCCTCCAGCGTCACCACACAACCAAAGCTGTGCCTTGACTTCCTTTAACCTCCAACATCACATCCTTTGCATGTGGCACTGACCTGTTGCCGTGAGATGGATCCAAACTCCTCTCCCCGCCATGAGGAATCTTTGGGTCCAGTGGGTGGTCAGAGTTGGAAGCCTCTGGAAATGATGTTGTATCTCTGGCAGACCACGCTGTTGATCGTGGGTCTTATTGAGTGGGTGACTGGAAGACAAGCAGGGGCGGTACCAGGCCTGCAGGGGAGCCTTGGGCGAATGCATGTGAGTGGGGAACTGGGAAGTCCACACAAACTCTGTGGCTCAATTAGCAGTGCTTACTAGCACTTGCATCTTGGTCTTCAGAAGGGTTAATATCAGGGGCAGCTGGACCAGGGGTGCAGGCCCCTCTGAGCTGGCTCACAGCTCTTCTGTCAACTTAAAATGATTTCAACTTAAAACTTAAAGATGGAGCTGCCTTTGTCTCCTCAATAACAAGATTTTGAATTCTTTTGCAAGCCTGCCTGTTGAGAAAGCACCCAGTTGCTGTATCCTGGAGCAGAGCAGCCAGGGCAGCTGCCTTCATTACTTAATGGGAGCAAGCCTGCATTTCCGTTCCCTCATTTCCACCAAGGGAGGCATGAAAGTGCCTTGTGAGCTGTATATATTACCCCAAAATTGAAAAATCTGGCAACTTCTATAACTACAGGTAAAAATATCTTGATTCACAGAGGTGTCACCATGCAAGGAGATGGTCACTTGTATCGAGGCGTCAGGTTGCCGTCTGAAATGGAGAAGAGCACATAGCAGTGTAAGGTAGGGAACAGCACATTGTTTTGAATGTAAGTCTTTATGCTGTACCAATTGGGAGAAATAAGAAAAATGTTTTGAACTGACTGTGGCACATCTGTGGCCACCATCGAACATCTTTGTGCATCACGGGCCATCACTCTCTCGTGGCTTAGAAACTCTGCCTGTTTTCACGTAGCAATGATTATACTCACTCCACAGCATTGTGGTATTTCCACTTCAGCACTGTTGTTCTTTATTTTTAAATATCACCCTGATCTGGTCACTGCTGAGGGTTCCTAGTCTTAGGACCATGAGAACTCAGGAAAAAGAATCTAGTTCAGGATGAAATAACAACGATGCAAAGTTTCCAGTTTGTTTTCAACTTTGTGTTGGTTCCTGAGTGGGTTCTGAATAAGTAATAATCATCCTGATTTCCCAGTGACTTGATGTTCCATTTCTGGCCAGGCCCCTTTGCTACTCCCTTGAATCGCTGCATTAAATATTAAAGCCGCCTGCGCCCTGGTGGCTCCATCCTGGAGGCAGCGGCAGAGTTTTTGTGGAATAACTCCTGGTTGGCTGCTAGATTTGTTCATTATTTTAATCTATGCATATTGGCTAGGACTACAACATTGTCTCTTTTTGCATAAATAGTAGTTTGAAATGAGGAGGAATCAATGACCCACCAGCCCAGCCCTGAGGAAGGGGAAGTCTCTGGTTCTTTGTAGTTGCCACACCTAGTGCTCGGCACTGACACGGTGATCTTTGGAATACCCCGTGCCTTCCTCCCTTCAGCCCAGCAGGGACATTTGGACCACCCAGCCGGGTCTGTTGGAAGACCTGCTTCATACAACATACTTTGCTGGGTACTGTCAGGAGGGTGGGGAAGCATAAGATTTGAGCTTGTAAGCTGCTTGGAGAGTGACTACATGTATATTTGGGGAAAAAAGACGACGACAGTCCAACCCCAAAGCAGTGTCCCGTGCTGAGAGGATGAGTCATACAGACGAGATCCTGCAGATAGGGAGCAGTTATACAAGGTGAGACTTCGACAGGGACATGGACTTTGACATACATGCAGGGGATGGGGGGGTTACACTGTGGGCATGGCATAGGGGGTGCATACTCCTCAGCAGAGCCCAGCGATGTCAGCGGGCAGTCCTCACCGTGAGGGCCCAGCTGCCGGGGCGAGTCTGCTCTGGGCCTTGGAGTCTTTGAGGAAAACAGCCTTCATGAGTCAGATTTGAATGAAGGGCCCGACCCTGGGCCCTTTTCCCAGAGGGACTCAGGTCTGTTTTCAGTGTTGTTCGTACGACTTTGTTCTTTTTAGACCAGGAATCGTCCTTTTTGCTACTGCCAGTCAAGCCTCATGCCAGGCTGAGCTGGGTTGGTGTGACCATTCCAAAAGCACTGTGATCCTATCTAGAGTTGTGCCTGAAGGGGAAGAAGAAATGAGGGGGGAGGGGGGAAGCATGTGCTCAAAGAGGGAGGGCGGAAAGGGGCAGGTGCAGACCTCCCAGGCAGCAGCCCCTGCCAGCCCCCCGAGGCCCAGGCAGGACCAGCGGCCCCCTGGAGTATTCTTTGGAAAGAGCTCCTATGTCCTTCTCTGCCAGCAACTGAGACTATAAAAACAGATACTAATTGTAGCGATAAATTACCAGGCCCTTCCCAACAGGCCTTTGGGTCCCAGGCAGAGGGGTGCTGACTTCCCCAGCAAGATACCTTGGTGGTCCTCTTCCTCAACTGATAACCTCCGGCCGCTCAATGAATAGCTCTTGGTGAGAACTCAGCTTAGCTGCTGGAGTCCATGTTTGGGTGTGAGTCACATTTGGCAGGGGGAATCCCAGGCACTTTAGGACCCTCCTGGGCAGCCAGCAGGGCCTGTCTGTGAGAAGGGCAGCCACCGAGGCACCAATAGCACCCCAGTCTCTGCTGCTTTAGACTCAGAACAGAACCAGTGATTCGGTGGTTCAGGAAAGGAGCTTACCCCTGCACCCACCACATGCACAAAAACCAACAGATTTAATGAGGAATTTGGAGTTCTGTCCTGTACTGGCTCCAGTTTAAGCTGAGGAGGAAGTTGGGGAATCTCACATTTTGGGATGCCCTTCTTCTTCTTTTTTTTTTTTTTTGAAGATTTTATTTATTTGACAGAAGCACAGCGAGAGAGGGAACACAATCAGGGGGAGTGGGAGAGCCCAGTGCAGGAACTCAATCCCAGGACCCTGGGATCATGACCTGAGCTGAAGGCAGACACTTAACGACTGAGCCACCCAGGTGCCCCTGGGCTGCTCTTCTTTTTGATGGGCAAGTGGACCAAGGGGGCTGGAGCACTTCATGTGGTCCAAGCCCAGCCCCTGCTGGGCTTCACCATGTGGCCAAGTTCCTTTTCTTTCCAGACACCCTCAGGCCTTTCCTACCACTCCGGACAGAGCAGAGAGGGCCTTGTCAAAAGTGTTTGAGCAGTTCATGGTGACTGCCAAGGACACAGTGCCATGAATACAAGATTTGACAGGGTGACGGTTGCTTTGCATGTGGCCATGTGAGGGGGCAGTTGGATGTGCTCGATGACCATACATCCGTCAGCCACAGACCGTTGGGCTCTCTACTGGGTCTCCCTGCAACGAAATTCTTTCTGGCCTAGGATGGTGTTTGCAGCCCTGACCGTGAGTGCAGGTAGTTGGGAGAGGAAAATTCCATCACTTAGGTCACACGGCCATGACAGGCTGGCTTTTCCATCAGCGGTACAGCCCCTGCAACACCAGACCTCGTGCCTGTCCTTAACTCGCATGTGTGGAGCTTAACTAGCTCTCTTTCCTCTAAGAACAGTTAGTGCTCATGCGTGCCTCGCACTTCCGTTGACACGTCACATCAGTTGTCACTGACTCAGAATGTCCAAGTGCCTCCTGTAGCTTGCTTGGAGCATAGCTGAAACACTCCTGGGATTGAAGTCCAATCCTGTTGAGTCTAAGCCGGAAGGAGGACGGAAGGTGCAGGGCGGTGAGCCTGCACGTGGAGACTGAAGCAGCAGTGCTTTCGCGAAACGCAAACAGATCCAGCAAGAAGAGAGGGCAGCTCTGTAGAACAGGCACACACAAGGGAAATGAGTAATTATGCCATCAGCTTCAGGCTCACACTTCCGTAAGCAGCTGTAAGTCTTCCTAACCCTGCCAATCCAGGAGCAAGAATCAGGCAGGGAGGCAGGCCTGTATGCCCTGTGTATACAAGTGCATTGAAATTGAGTGTCATGCTCACAGGACCCCATTCCTTTCCATTTTGCCTGATATGCTCCTTCAGGGTAAAGGTATAAAACACATTTAAGGTTCTTTACCTCCTTCCCTGCAATAGTAATTGGCAGTTACTCAACCCCTGTGGGCATCATAAATAAGGAACACACCAAGGGACTCTGTTGCTGCCATTAGAACACACTGGCTTTAGCTGGATTGAACTAGAGTCAACTGGTAGTGTGGAGAATGTAATGGTGTGCCCATGGTAAAATCGCCCCCATTTTTTTGTCACAAAGCCTGGGTTTTCTCCTGGCTAAGCAAATGGAGTTTGTGTGTTGACATGTTCACGCTAAAAGGAGTGAGTCAGAAGATAGGCTGTCTACGTCAGGGCACCCTGGTAGGTGCTACACGGAATTCTGGAGCATCATTAGTAATAGAAGAGAGACTGTGATGTATTGCCTCCTACATGGTAAATACAGGAAGCAGACCGACCATTTTCTGCTCTCTTGATAAGGCATGGAATTTATACCAACAGCACATGGTTACTTGGGTTTTATTCTATTGTGGCAAAAAGCACATGACATAAAATTTACCATCTTAACCATTGTTAAGTGTACAGTAGTGTAACTATGTGCACATTGTGCAACAGATCTCTAGAACTTTTCCATCTTGCAAAACTGAAGCTCTGTCCCCATTAAACATTCACTCCCCATTCCCTCCCCCAACCGCTGGCACCCTCCCTTCTTACTCTCTGTCTCTATGAATTAGTGACTCCAGGGACCTCATGTGAGTGGAATCGCAGAGTATTATCTGTCCTTCTGTGTCTGGTTTATGTCAATGAGCATAATATCCTCAGAGTTTATCCACTGTGTAGCAGGTGTCAGTGTTTCCTTCCTTTTTAAGACTGAATAATATACCATTGTGTGGATGGACCACATCATGTTTATCTACTCACTCACTGATGGACACTTGGGTTGGCTTTTGTGAATGCTGCTATGAACTCGGGTGTGAAAACCACAGTTGATGGGGTTCCTTGGTGGCTCAGTCAGTTAAGCGTCTGACTCTTGATGTCAGCTCATGTCTTGATCTCAGGGTTGTGAGTTCAAGCCCCATGTTCATTGAGCCTGCTTTAAAAAAAAAGAGGGGCGCCTGGGTGGCTCAGTTGGTTGGGCAACTGCCTTCGGCTCAGGTCATGATCCTGGAGTCCTGGGGTCGAGTCCTGCATCGGGCTCCCTGCTCAGCGGAGTCTGCTTCTCCCTCTGACCCTCCCCCCTCTCACACTCTCTCTCTGTCTCATTCTTTCTCTCTCAAATAAATAAATAAATAAATATTTTTTAAAAAGAAAATCACAGTATCACAGTTGCTTGTTTTTAAAAGAAAAAAATCTCGATTTTCTGAATAAGAACTTTCTTGACTATTAATATTCTATTACTAACATATAAAAGGAGTACACCTGGCAATTGTATCACTAATATTTTCAACATCCTTGTGGAGGTAGTGCTTTAATAGTTGTAGATAAAACAACAGCCTAGCTCTAACCTGTCCTCTGTGAGGCTCAGCACAAGTAGAATCAACCACCTTTTAAATTCTCAGTGGCCATAAAAATGGGAGGAGTTTTGCTCCTCAGAACAGAAAAACAAGTCTTGTAGGCAGGTGATTTGATGAAAGGAGAAGCAGGGATTGCTTATAGTTGACCTGCTCCGTATCCCCGAGGCAATAGTCCTCAGGGAGGCTGAAGGACAGAAAGGCCGCAAGAGGTCTCAGCTGAGGCAGGCCCAGGGCATACAGCCCTCAGCTCAACATGGACCCTGGGTCCTGTAGTCCCTGGAATATCTGGGTAATCCCCTTTCCTCATTGCAAGGTGGCCTGAGAGTGACCACTTGCTGTAGACTCCTTTGGGGGAAGGCCCAGAGACATTATGACAGTTTACATTTGCTGTGGTTTGTGTCATTCATTCCTCATAAGGACCTAGCTTCTCCTTCAGTTGGGGGGGAGGGGGAGGGCACAGGTCCAAGACCAGCTCAGATCTGGAAATGGAGCAAAGGACTGTGACTTCTCGTTGGGGTGGTTTCCCTTAGCCCCTGTTATTCATTCAATAATGACTTCTCTTAATTGTATAATTAGGTAATATCTTATTGGCTGGCTGTCTGTCCCTTAGGAATACCACATTTTATTAACCATCTTCATGGCATTGTGCAGGTCACCCCCTCCCTCTTCAACACTCCAACCTTGCTGCCCTTACAAGAATTGTACCCACCTAGGGCGCCTGGGTGGCTCAGTTGGTTAAGCGACTGCCTTCGGCTCAGGTCATGATCCTGGAGTCCCGGGATCGAGTCCCGCATCGGGCTCCCTGCTCGGCGGGGGGTCTGCTTCTCCCTCTGCCCTCTTCCCTCTCGTGCTCTCTGTCTCTCATTCTCTCTCTCTCAAATAAATAAATAAAATCTTAAAAAAAAAAAAAAAAGAATTGTACCCACCTTGCTTTTGATAATTAAGTACAGCCACCTATGATTCTGGGATCTTGATATCCTCGTTGCTGTAAAGGGAGCCCATTCTATGACGGCGTCTCCTTTGCCTGCTCTGGGTTACAGAGTACTGACACTGCTGAGCTCCTCATCAATGCTGGTGCCCCCACCAGCCCAGTCCTCATTGATCTGATGAATGGAGTGTCTCTGAGCCTTCTGTGAAATGTGTTTGGCTGGTGTTTTGTTTCCAGCCTTATGAGGTACATTCACATTTCCATGCCCACTTTTCTGAGACTTGATTCCTTCTTCTACCATTTGCCACAGCAGTTACGACATTTATGTTTCAATTAGTGGGTCATCACTTTTTACAAACTTCCAAGAATCTTCCTAGATGCAAATTCACACTGCCTCCCAGCGTGTTAAATCTTATGTCCTGGGAAAGTGCTTCTGTACTGATAAACCCTCCCTTAACCCATCTGATATTCTGCCCCTTGATCCAGCGTATCTTGGTGGCACATCTTGGCTATGTCGTGCAGCTCCTTCAGGATACAATCTCTTTCTTCCCTGGCCAGGCCCAGCTCTTCCTTGTCTGGGTTATGTTGTGATTTGAACCTTCATGTCAGCCAACAGCCAGAAGAGAAGTTGGGGACTATAGCCTTTGATAGGGTGAAGTAGACCACTACTGCAAGCCTAGAGCATTCAGAGGGACCTGGGGTTCAAAGACTTTTGGGTGTATCAACCTAGTTGTTCCCATCCCAAGTTTCAGGGTCCCCCTCCTTCTAGTTGGGGCCTTGACCTTAGAATAGGGGATTTGCTAGGATTGAGAATTCAACCTTTTCTGGAGCTCTGCTGTCCAAATCATTAAGTCTTGGGCCTGACTCTCAGTTCCTCCTGCAAGATGCAGGGTCTCTCTGAGTGCCACTAGAGAAGCTCTGGGGGTGTTCACACTTCACCTTGAGTTGGTGATTAACCAACCTCAGCCTTTCCTTATCTTCTTCCAGTGCATCAATAGCATCCAGCAACAGCCACCCTGTCCCAGTGTCCTGTTACAACTTCCCCACACCTCCCCAATTCACCAGCTAATGTCATTCCTTATCACTGTTAGTTTTTTTTTAATTAGTAGATTTCATTTTGTAAGACAGTTTTAGGTTTACAGGAAAACTTGGGCAGACAATACAAAGAATTCCCATATACTGCCTCTCCTACACAATTTCCCCTTGCTACTACCATCTTGCATTGGAGAGGTACATTTGTTACAATCAATGAACCAATATTGATACATTATTACTAACTAAAACCCATAGCTTATGTTCAAGTTGTCTCTTTGTATTGTCCAATTCTATTGGTTTTGACAAAAGCATGTCATTTGTCAAATGTATCCACCATTACATTACCATTTAGAATAGTATCTGCCCTAAAAATCTTTGCTGCTTCACCTATTTATTCTTCCCTCTGAAAACCCTGGCAGTCATTAATTTTTTTCACTATCTCCATAGTTTTGCCTTTTCCAGACCATCATATGGTTGGAATCATACTGGGTGTAGCCTTTTCAGATTGCTTTCTTTTTCCACTTATACATTTAAGGTTCCTCCATGTCTTCTACTGGCCTGATAGCTCATTTCTTTTCAGTGGTGAGTAATATTGTCTAGATGGACCACAGTTCATTGGTTTATCTATTGAAGAACATCTGGATTTTTTCCAGGTTTTGGCAATTATGAATAAAACTCCTGTAAACATTTGTGTGCAGGTTTTTGTGTGGATCTATGTTTACAATTTGATTGGGTAAATACTTAGGAGTGTCATTGCTGAGTCATATGGTAAGAGTATGTTTAGCTTTGTAAGAAACTGCCTAACTATCCTTCACCAGCAATGAGTGGGATTTTCTGTTGCTCTGTATCTTCACCAGCATATAGTGTTGCACATGTTCTGGATTTTGTCACTCTAGTAATTGTGTAGTGGCATCTCATTGTTGTTTTAATTTACATTTCCCTAACGACTCCTGATGTGAAGTGTCTTTCCATGTGCTTACTTGCCTTCTGTGCATCTTCTCTTGTGTGTCTGTCAGATTTTTGCCCATTTTTAAATTGGGTTGTTTGTTTTCTTGTTGCATTTTAAGAGTTCTTTGTATATTTTGGATGCAAGTCCTTTATCAGATACTTACTTTGTAAATATTCTCTCCCAGTCTGTGTCTGTCTTCATTCTTTTAGCATGTTTTTCATGGAGCAGAAGTTTTTAATTTTAATAAAGTCCAGCTCATCAATATTTTTCTTCATTGATCATGGTTTTGGCGTTGTATTTAAAAATTCATTGCCAGGGACGCCTGGGTAGCTCAGTTGGTTAAGTGTCTGCCTTTGGCTCAGGTTGTGATTTCAGGGTCCTGGGATTGAGCCCTGCATCGGGCTCCCTGGTCAGCGGGGAGTCTGCTTCTCCGTCTCTCTCTCTCTCTGCCCCACCAGCTCCTGTTCTCTCTCTCTCTCTCAAATAAATAAATATAATCTTAAAAAAAAATAAAATAAATTCATTGCCAAACCCAAGGTCACATAGATTTTCTCCTATTTTCTTGTAGAAGTTTTATACTTTTGAATTTTATAATTAGGTGGTTTTAAGTTATAATCCAGTTTGTGTAAATTTTTGTGAAATTTGTGAAGTCTGTGTCTAGATTCATTTTTTGCATGTAGATGTCCAATTGTTCCCACACCATTTGCTGAGAAAACTATTCTGCCTCCATTAAATTTTCTTTGCTCCTTTGTCAAAGATAAGTTGACTATGTTTGTGTGGTCTGTTCCCAGGTTCTTTGTTCTGTCCCATTGATCTATTTGTCTATTCTTTAGCTGATACCCTCCTGTCATTTTTACTGTAGCTTCATAGTAAGTCTTGAAGTCAGACAACATTAACAGCTTAAACAATTGTTTCACTACACGTGTCAGGGATTATCAGAGCTCAATCTATGACCTCCAGTGGAGGGTTCTCATCACCAGCCTCATTGCCAGCTAGCAGGTGATCCAGCTCAAAGGTTCCATATTCGATTTTCTTTCCTGGGACTACTCTTGGTACCAACTGTCACTCCCTGGAAATGGACTCTGAGATGGAGAGTTGCTGCAGGGACTTACTAAGCAGTACATTAATGAACAACACCTTTAAGGACATGAGGGAAGGAGGGTAGGGCAGAGGGTGAGGTTGAAGTGCAATTAGTTGCAGCGGACTGTACACCTAGAGTGGAGGGCTGGATGCCCTTTCTTGGCAGTCCCAAGTTGAGGCAAAAGGACTGGGCCATTGTAGCCCTGCATTAGCTAGCTATTTAGTGCAGGCTCCCTCAAGAAGGAGTGTAACTTTGGGTGAGAAAGTTTCCTTTAGTTCGGCGAAGTTCCCTTGGAAAGAGATGCAGCTGGGGGAATGAGCCTCGATCTTGAAGCACTCTGGACGGTGCATCACAGTGTGTACCACCAGTACTTTAGATCTTAGCAGAAACATTACTCATCAGAGAAGACTTCTCCACTTATAGATGAAGCTTGAGGTTACATGGTCTGCCCAGGTTACCTCACTGTTAGGAGATCTTTTAAGCTATTAACAAAATCTGGAGGCCTACCTCTGTACCATGAGGATTGCTGATACTGAGAATTTAAAATTAATCTATATTTTAAAATATTAGCCTGGCATTTAGGATAGGAATGGTGGTTTCTTGCCCAAAGAAAGAATGGGTATGAAGGGAAAAAATACAGAAGAGTTACTTGAACAGCTTTCTTAGCTAATCTGGTCTCAGGACCTCCACAGGCAAGAGTACCTGCTTGCCTCGTGTTCCAGTCAGGCTTGGTTATATGGTCACCAATCAAATTGTCAGGAAAAGATTAGACTTGCTTAATTAAGCAAGGACAAAGGCTAGGAGATGAACTGCCCTTCTGCCAATATTAATAGAAGCAAGGATTAGAAATTAGTTGGTGGCTTAACTGATATTTTTAGAATTCCACTTGAAAGGGATAAGGATTCTAAAAACAGGAAAGTGGTAAATGCTACATAAGTCAGTAAAGGATCATAGTTAGCTTCATGTCCTTTGTAAAGAAACTATTACAAATTATGTGGGAGGATTTAGCTTTAAAATTGCTTGAAAAGCAGAATGTGATCTGAGACAGGCAGCCTAGATTTATGAGAGGAAACATGCCCATAAGTTGTGTTGGAGATTTTAAAAGATATTATATTTATGACAGACAATGAGAATGCTTTGTGTAGCCTGCATCTGTGAAGAATTTGATAATGCTCTACTTAAAGATTTATTCTGAAGGTAAGAAGTAGAAAAAGATGTAAAAAGAAATCCTGCATTTCCAAAGCACTGCATCTTCATGCAGATGCTCATTCCAGCTATGTTGGTAGCAAAGGAAGAGTGATTTGTTAATTATCCCCCACGCCATGCATGGAGCCTAGCACAGAGAGAAGGCTTGGTTGTTGATTACTATGTGCATGAGCAGATGGATTAATCTTGTTTCACCAGTACCTATTTAAGCAGGAAGTCTAAGCAGTGAGGAATGACTCCTACATGTTGTTAAAATCACTCTCTTTACCATTTATTTCAATTGGAAGGAGCAAGGACTTTTTTCCATGAAGGACAACCAGCTTTGTAGAGCCCTTATTGAAGCCTTGCCCAAGGATGCGGTCTTTTGGAGAGACAACTGGTGAATATCTTCTGGGCAGACAGAACCACCAATGGGCAATGGAAACCTTCATCTAAAAGCATATGAAGATTCTAGGAAGCAAGGCTGAAGTAGAAAGAGGCAAGACTGTGGTTCCATGGACAAACGGGGGCGACCACTAGGGATCTGGGTTTTCAAGAAGTGCAACACTCAGCAGGTAGATGGGAGTCCCTAAGTCAGGACATTAGGACAGTGCTGCCAAAAAGACAGTAGTGGTAGGAGGTCCTGTGACCTACAAATTCAGTGCTCTGTTGCTCCTGTTAGGGAAATAGGGAGCCCAGGAACAGATCCAGATCTCCAAGTCAGTATAGTCAGGTGGCCCAGCTCTCCTAGGAATGGAGAGTCATGGAAAAAATGAATATCACTTAAGTGAACAAAAACAAGACAAGAATGTCCCCCCTCATTACTCCCATTTGACATCATGCTGGAAGTCCTAGCTAATGCAATAAGACAGGAAAAGGAAATAAAGTATACAGTTTGAGAAGGAAGAAATAAACTGTTTGCAGATGATATGATTGTCAAAAATCCCAATGAATTGACTAAATGAATAAATAATAAAAATCCTGGAACTAACAGCAATTATAGCAAACTTGCCAGATACAGGGTTAATATACATAAGTTAATTATTTTCCTGTATACCATCGATGAGGAATTAGAACTTGAAGTCAAAAACGCAATAACATTTACAAAGTGGACCATGCAGCTGAACCTGCAACTCCCATCTTGAGCCTTTGTATTTGCTGTTCCCTTTACCTAGAAGGCCTATCTCCCAGATGTCCAAATGACTAACTCCTTCATATACTTCAAATCTTCTCTCAGAAAGTTATCTTCCTGGAGGATTCTGGGAAGATGGCTAAGTAGGAAGCATCAGGAATCGGTTTCCCCACCTGGACAACAATTGCACAGCAGAATCCGTCTGATGTATTTGGGAACTCTGGAGTCTACTGAAGGCTTGCAACTTGCAGGGGAAGTATTAGATAGCAAATTGCAGTTAATTTGGTCAATTTCAATTCTTGTACAGTAGCAGTTACCATCCCTCATCCCAAGACTAGTGGCAGGCACCTGTGCATGGGTTTCTGGAGCAGCTGGCATGCAGGTTGTGGGAGCCAGGGTGAATATCCACCAAATATCAAGGATCTGTCCCCTGATTGCCAATTGCTGCTTCTGATCACAGAGGTGCAAAAACGAGGGTAGCCATTGTTGTTGTACTTTCCCCCCAATGTGGCAAGCCCTTCCCCTTCTAGTTGAAGTGACTTCCAGAGGACTTAAAGGGCTGACACCCTTCCTCCCCTCCTTCCTTTCTTTCTCTTTTTCCCTTTTTGGAAGTCAGACATTAAAGACTAAGACATTCAAAAGCAACTTTATGTATGAGGGAAAATTAGAAAGTGACTGTGCATGCCCAGGGGAAGGCACAGGATCAGAAAAGACCTGAGAAGACTTTAAGTTTATAATTCAGGCTGGTCTTTGGTGCAGAGACAGGCTGCAATAATAGAGAAAAAAAAACCCACACAATAACCCAAAACAGCAAACCCTGGGGAAGGGGAAGATTCTGATTTCCAGAGTTACCACATTATTAGATTCAAATGTCTAGTTTTCAACAACAACAACAACAACAACAACAACAAATATCACAAAGCATACATAGAAACAGGAAAGTATGGCCCACTCAAAGGAAAAAAAAAAATCAATAGAAAGTATTCCTGAAAAAGACCTGGTGGCAGTTTACTAGGCAAAGACTAAAACTACTGTCTTCAAGATGCTCAAAGAACTAAAGGAAGATGTTGAGAAAAATCAAGAAAATGATGTAGTAACAAAATGGAAAGATCAGTAAAGAGAGAAAACCTAAAAAGAAACCAGAAAGAAATTCTGGAGCTGAAAACACAATAACTGAAATGAAAATTCACCACAGGTATTCAAAGGCAGATTGTGAGCAGCCAGAAGAAAGAATCAGCAAACCAGAAGATAAAACAATGGAAATTATTCAATTTAAAGAACAGAAAGTAAAAAGAATTAAAGAAAAGCAAATGGAGAAATAGAAAACCTGAACAGACCCATAACTGGCAAGGAAATTGAAGCAGTAATCAAAAATCTCCCAACAAATAAGAGTCCAGGGCTGGATGGCCTCCCAGGGGAATTCTACCAAACATTTAAAGAATTAATACCTATTTTTCTGAAGCTGTGTCAAAAAATAGAAATGGAAGGAAAACTTACAAACTAGTTCTATGAGGCCAGCATTACCTTTTTTTTTTTTTTTTTTTTTTTTTTTTTTGAGGCCAGCATTACCTTGATCCCAAAACCAGACAAAGACCCCACCAAAGGGGCGCCTGGGTGGCTCAGTTGGTTAAGCGACTGCCTCCGGCTCAGGTCATGATCCTGGAGTCCCTGGATCGAGTCCTGCATCGGGCTCCCTGCTCGGCAGGGAGTCTGCTTCTCCCTCTCCCACTCCCCGTTTGTGTTCCCTCTCTCGCTGTGTCTTTCTCTGTCAAATAAATAAAATCTCTAAAAAAAAAAAATAAAAGACCCCACCAAAAAGGAGGATTACAGACCAATATCCCTGATGAACGGGGGATGCAAAAATTCTCACCAAGATACTAGCCAATAGGATCCACAGTACATTAAAAGGATTATTCACCACGATCAAGTGGGATTTATTCCTGGGCTGCAAAGGTGGTTCAACATCCGCAAATCAATCACTGTGATACATTACATTAATAAAAGGAAGGACAAGAACCATATGATCCTCTCAATAGATGCAGAAAAAGCATTTGACAAAGTATAGCAAAGTTTCTTGATTACAACTCTTCACAGTGTACGAATAGAGGGAACATACCTCAATATCATAAAAGCCATATATGAAAAGCCCACAGCAAATATCATTCTCAAGGGGGAAAAACTGAGAGCTTTTCCCCTAAGGTAAGGAACATGACAGGGGTGTCCACTCTCACCATTGTTGTTCAACATAGTAGTAGAGAGTAGTAGAAGCCTTAGCCTCAGCAATCAGGCAACAAAAAGAAATAAAAGGCATCTGAATCAGCAAAGAAGAAGTCAAACTCTCACTGTTCACAGATGACATGATACTCTATGTGGAAAACCCAAAAGACTCCATCCCAAAATTGCTGGCACTCATACAGGAATTCAGCAAAGTGACAGGATATAAAATCAATGCACAGAAATCAGTTGCATTTCTATACACTAACAATGAGACATAAGAAAGAGAAATTAAGGAGTCAATCCCGTATACAATTGCATCAAAACCCATTAGATACCTAGGAATAAACCTAACCAAAGAGGCAAAGGATCTGTACTCAGAAAACTATAGAACACTCATGAAAGAAATTGAGGAAGACACAAAGAAATGGAAAAATGTTACATGTTCTTGGATTGGAAAAACAAATATTGTTAAAATGTCTATGCTACTGGGCGCCTGGGTGGCTCAGTTGGTTAAGCGACTGCCTTCGGCTCAGGTCATGATCCTGGAGTCCCTGGATCGAGTCCCGCGTCAGGCTCCCTGCTCGGCAGGGAGCCTGCTTCTGCCTCTGACCCTCCCCCCTCTCATGTGCTCTCTCTCTCTCATTCTCTCTGTCTCAAATAAATAAATAAAATCTTTAAAAAAATAAAAAAATAAAAATAAATGTCTATGCTACTTAGAGCAATCTATACATTCAAAGCAATCCCTATCAAAATACCATCAACTTTTTTCACAGAGCTGGAACAAATAATTCTAAAATTTGTGTGGAACCAGAAAAGAACCTGAATAGCCAAAGGAATGTTGAAAAAGAAAACCAAAGCTGGTGGCATCACAATTCCGGACTTCAAGCTCTATTACAAAGCTGTAACCATCAAGACAGTATATGGTACTGGCACAAAAACAGATACATAGATCAGTGAAACAGAATAGAAAACCCAGAAATAGACCCTTAACTCCATGGTCAACTAATCTTCGACAAAGTAAGAAAAAATATCCAATGAAAAAAAGACAGTTTCTTTAACAACTGGTGTTGGGAAAATTGGACAGCCACATGCAGAAGAATGAAACTGGACCATTTTCTTACATCATACACAAATATAGACTCAAAATGGATGAAAGACTTAAATGTGAGACAGGAATCCATCAAAATCCTAGAGAAGAACACAGGCAGCAACCTTTGTGACCTTGGCCAAAGCAACCTCTTGCTAGACACATTTCCAAAGGCAAAGGAAACTAAAAAGATTTTGCACAGCAAAGGAAATAGTCGACAAAACCAGAAGGCAGCCGACAGAATGGGAGAAGATATTTGCAAATGTCTTATCAGATAAAGGGCTAGTTGGGGCACCTGGGTGGCTCAGTTGGTTAAGCCACTGCCTTCAGCTCAGGTCATGATCCTGGAGTCTCGGGATCGAGTCCCCACATCGGGGTCCCTGCTCGGAGGGGAGTCTTCTTCTCCCTCTGACCCTCCCCCTTCTCATGCTCTTTCTCTCATTCTCTCTCTCTAATAAATAAATAAAATCTAAAAAAAAAAAAAAAGATAAAGGGCTAGACACAAACAGACAGTTCTCCAAAGAAGACATACAAATGGCCAACAGACACATGAAAAGATGCTCAACATCACTCCACATCAGGGATATACAAATCAAAACCACAATGAGATACCACCTCACACTGGTCAGAATGGCTAAAATTAACAAGTCAGGAAATGACAGATGATGGCAAGGATGTGGAGAAAGGGGAACCGTCTTACACTGTTAGTGGGAATGCAAGCTGGTACAGCCACTCTGGAAAACAGTATGGAGGTTCCTTAAAAAGTTGAAAATAGAGCTACCTTATGACCCAGCAATTGCATTACTAGGGACTTACCCCAAAGATACAAATGTAGTGATCCAAAGGGGCACATGCACCTCAATGTTTATAGCAGCAGTGTCCACCATAGCCAAACTATGGAAAGAGCCCAGATGTCCATCAACAGATGAATGGATAAAGATGTAGTATATATATACAATGGAATATTATTCAGCCATCAAAAAATGAAATCTTGCGATTTGCTATTAACGTGGATGGAACTAGAAGGTATTATGCTAAACAAAATAATTCAATCAGAGAAAGAAAATTATCCTATGATTTCACTCATAATGTGGAATTTAAGAAACAAAACAGGAGCATAGGGGTAGGGAGGGAAAAATAAAACAAGATGAAATCAGAGAGGGAGACAAACCATAAGAGACTCTTAATCATAGGAAACAAACAGGGTTGCTGGAGGGGAGCAGGGTCGGGGATGGGGTAACTGGGTGATGACATTAGGGGGACATGTGATGTAATGAGCACTGGGTGTTATATGAGACTGATGAATCACTGAACTCTACCTCTGAAATGAATAATACATTATATATTAATTAATTGAATTTAAATAATAAAAAATACAACAAATCAAATTCAGCAAAACATTAAAAGGATTATATGCCATGACCAAGAGGGATTTATTTCTGGAATGTAAGGATTGTTCAACATACAAAAATCAATAAGTATAATGCATCACATTTACAGAATGAAGAGAAAAAAAATGATCATCTCAATTGATGCAAAAAGGCATTTGACAAAACTCAACACTCTTTCATGATAAAAAAGACTTCACAAACTAGGGATAGAAGGAAACTATATCATAATATAATAAAAGTCCTGTGTGAAAAACCCACAGCAAACATTGTATCCCATACTGAAAAACTGAAAGATTTTCCTTTAAGATCTGGAACAAGGCAGGGATGTTCACTTTTGCTGCCTCTTTTCAACATATACTGGTAGTTCAACTCATAACAATCAGACAAGAAAAATTGATAGGCATCCAAATTGGAAAGAGAGAAGTAAAATTATCTGTTTGCAGATGATATGACTTTATATGTAGAAAATCCTCGAGAGTCCCATCAAAAAAAAAAAAACCAAACCTGTTATAATAAATGAAATCAGCAAAATAGCAGGATGCAAAGTCAGCACACAAAAATGAGTTGCATTTCTATACACTAACCATGAATAATCTGAAAAGGAAATTACAAAAAGAATTCCACTTATAGCATCAAAATAATAAAATATTTAGAAATTAATTTAATCAAAGGGGTGAAAGAAGTACATTGAGGACTACAAAACATTGCTGAAAGAATTAAGGAAGACATAAACAGAAGGATAGCCTATGTTCATAAATTGAAAGACTTAAACTTGTTAAGCTGTCAGTACTATCCAAAGTGATCTAAAGAGTCAGTGCAATCCTTTTTACGATGATGTTTTCTGCAAAAATGGAAAAACTCATCCTAAAATTCATATGGAATCTCAAGGGAGTCCAAATAGCCAAAGCAATCTTAGAAGAACAAAGCCAGAGGACTCATGCTTCCTGATTTCAAAACTCACTATAAAGCTACAGTCATCAACATAGTGTGTACTGGCATAAAGAGACATACAGAGCAATGGAATAGAATGGAGAAGAGCCCAGAAATAGTCTTGTACATATGGTCAAATGATGTTTGACAAGGGTGCCAAGACCATTCAATGGGGAAAGGACAGTTTTTTCAAGAAATGGTGCTGGGGACACTGGACATCCACATTCAAAAGAATGAAGTTGGATTCTCATATAACACCATGTATGAAAATTCACTCAAAATGGATCAAAGATTGGGATGGAAAACCTAAACCTATGAAACTTTTGGAAGAAAACTTCGGGTCAAAGCTTCATAGCATTGGGTTTGGTGATGAATTCTTGGATCAGACACTAAAAGCACAGGCAACAAGAGAATAAATAGAGAAATCAGACTTCATGGGAATTGAAAATTATGTGCTTCAGAAGAGAATATTATAGAGCAAAAAGGCAACCTACAGAAAATATATCTGAGGAAGGGTTAATATCCAGAACAGATAGAACTTCTAAAACTCTGCAACAAAAAACCCAAACAACCTGATTTAAAAATGGGCAAAGAACTTGAATAAACATTTCTCTAAAAAAGATGTATAGATGGCCTATAAGCATACAAAAAGATGCTCAGCATCACTCATCATCAGGGAGATGCAGATCAAAACCACAGGGAGATACCACTTCATACATGTTAGGATGACTACTATTTTTAAAAAAAAGAGCGAGAGAAGAAGGGTGCCTGGCTGGCTCAGTCAGTGGAGCACATGACTCTTGATCTCAGGGTCCTGAGTTCAAGCCCCATGTTGGGTATAGAGATTACTTAAATAAATAAATGTTTTAAAAAATTAAAATTAAAATTTATTTATTTATTTTTAAGATTTATTTATTTATTTGAGAGAGCAAGAATGAGAGAGAGAGAGAGTACATGAGAGGGGGGAGGGTTAGAGGGAGAAGCAGGCTCCTCACTGATCAGGGAGCCCGATGCGGGACTCGATCCAGGGACTCCAGGATCATGACCTGAGCCAAAGGCAGTCACTTAACCAACTGAGCCACCCAGGCGCCCCTAAAATTTAAATTTAAAAAAAGGAAATAACATGTTGGCGAGGATGCAGAGAAATTAGAACACTTGTACACTGTTGGTGGGAATGTAAAATGGTACAACCACTGTGGAAAACTGTACGGTGGTTTCTCAGAAAATTAAAATTACCATCTGACCCAGAAATTCCACTTCTGGCTCTATACTCAAAAGAATCGGAAGCAGCAACTCAAAGAGGTATTTGCACAACCATGTTCATAGCAGTGTTATTGATGATGGCCAAGAGAAGGAAGCAACCCAAGCGCCCATCAACAAGTGAATGGCTAAGTAAATTGGTCCATCCAAACAATGAAATGTCTTTCATCTTTATTTTGTTTGTTTGTTTTTTGTTTTTTTTTTTTATCTTTCATCTTTAAAAGGAAGTTCTGACACATGCTACAACATGGTTGACTCTTGAGGACATTTTGCTAAGTGACATAAGCCAGTCACAAAAAGACAAACACAGTAGGGTTCCACTTATATGAGTGCTTATAAGTAAGTACCCAGAGGAGTCAAATCATAGAAAGTAGAATGGTTGCCAGGGGCTGGGGAGGCAGGGAGGGTATAGTTTAACAGGTATAGTTTCAGTTTTACCTTTTGAAAAGAGTTCTGGCGGTGGGTGGTTGTGGTAGTTGTATAACGTTATGAATGTATATGATACCACTGAACTTATACCTAAAAATAGGTAAGATGGAAAATTTTTTAAAAGATTTTTTTATTTAGGGGTACCTGGGTGGCTCGGTCAGTTGGGCTCAGGTCATGTTCCCAGGGTCCTAGGATCGAGCCCTGCATTGAGCTCCCTGATCAGCAGGGAGTCTGCTTCTCCCTCTCCCTCTGCCCCTGCCCCTGCTCCTTCTCTCTCTCTCTCTCAAATATATAAATAAAATCTTTTTTATTTATTTGAGAGAGAGAGAACACAAGCAAGGAGGACTGGGATCCGCAAAGGACACTGGGATCATGACCTAAGCTGAAGGCAGATGCTTAACTGACCGAGCCACCCAGGTACCCCAAAATGGTAAATTTTATGTTATGTGTATTTTACCACAATTTAAAAAATCTGTCTCCTCAGCGAGGCCAACCTTCATTGCCTTTGCAAGTATTCCCTGTATCCCCTTATTTTACCTCTACTACTTCTTACCATGTAACATACCATCCCCTTACTTCTTCCTCTTATGCACTGGATGTGTTTCCCACTTGAATGTGGCACATTCTGGCACACAGAAATGCTCAATAAATATTCATCTATAAAAGCTTTATTGAGATGTAAGTCACAAACCATGCAACCTGCTCACTTAAACTGTGTAGTTTAGGGATTTTTGTATATTCACAAGGCTGTGCAGCCATCACTGCTGCTAACTCCAGCACATTGTCATGATCTAAACAGAAACCCCCTACCCACTAGCAGTCACCGCCCATAATCCCCAGGTCCCCCAGCCCCTGGCAACCACTGATCCGCTTTCTGTCTCTGGGCCCATGTGAATGGACTCATGCCGTGCGTGTTCTTTGGTGACTGGCTCCTTTCACTAGGCATGATGTTTCTGATGTTTGCTCACGTAATACACAGCAGTACTTCATTTCTGTCTCACTTTTTTTTTTCATCTTGCCATTTGGTTCTGCATGCCATCTTTCAATCAGCTCAGTTCAAATGTCACCTCCTCTGTTAATCTGCCAAGACTTAGAGCACCACAATCCAGGGTGACCACCCTGCTACTTCAGAAATAGATGTTTGGCCTGCTAAATCTTAAGGACTAAACTACTTATTCTTCGAGACTATCATTCCTCGTTTTCTTCTATCAGGGTTGATTTTCCATTTTACATGCTCCTGCAAGACACTGGAGAAGTAGATCTACATCTCCTAGCTAACGCACCAGGAAGTCAAACCCGTTTTGCTCCTGCCACCAAGTGGTCAGAGGCAAGCATGACACCAATCCAGACTGCACTGGCCAGACCCCAGAGGGATGAAGAAACTGAGCCAGGCTTGATGTTCCTGTGCATGACACACAGCAACTTAACCTCATTTTCAGAGTGTGGCATGCCTGCGTTGACTGAAAATGTTTCCAA